GAAAAAACACCGAGACTCACATACGCACCAAAGCAAAACCGCATTTTTCCGCTTGTCGGCCGATCGGAAACCGGGCGCGATAAGCGGCAAAACCGCGCAGTCTGAAAAAGTGGTGGCATGGCGCGATATCGCGCGTGCTAATTATCCGAATCACCACATTACAATAATGCTGCTTATTATTTGCTAATCATAGCAATATTCCAGCCGATTATCTGCCTTCCTGGTGGCGATAGCGGCCCAGTCAGGGGCAGTTTGGAAGCGGCCGCGTGGGCGCCAGCCGCCGTTGCCGCGGTAACGGCCCTAAACAAGCACGCGTCCGGCTGGCCGCTGCGCCACGCCGCGAACTGCTCCAGACCTTAGTGGCACTCACCTTGCAAACGCACGGGAAACAGGTGACGATCTCTGGATCGAATCGAGTGATCACTGGCTCGCCATCGTTGGCGCACTTTTGGCGATTGCCCGGCACAGCCTCCACTCGGCCTCCTGCAAATCATCGCCGAATTATCCAACATTTCTGCACAACAACCGATAAGCGGCAACACTGTCAAACACGGCCAAGTCAGCAGCGTAGGCGGCCGGTGTTTTCCAATAAATATTTTGATTATTCTTCCCCCGGCCGCCCGCGGGGTTAAGACATAATATGTCATAATGTAGTAGCCGTGAACTTAGCGGCGTGTTTATCACGTAGGCCATGTCTGCGCCCAAAATAGCCGCTGGAGACGGCACTGGAGAATGGCAACAGTGCGAAAATGCACTTCGACTAGCTGGACGCGTGCTTCATGCGAGGCCAAGGCCGCCTGAGATGCAGGTGTGCAGCCCGAAGCGCCCACACCGTTGCCGATTCCTGCCAGTGCACTCAGCATGACAGCCGCTGTCAAACCACAACCAGTAGTCTAGACTGGCGGCGTGCCAGACAAGCCCCCCCTTGAGACCTTTTTAAGACGCGATTAAGCCGTCAACGGGCCGACCAATAAATGGAAGAACAAACAAAGCAACCCGGACCCTTAATGAGGCCACTTTAAGCAGTGGGCGGTGCATTAAGCGGCGCGGCGGGCGGCCTTTCAGGGTCTAATCGGCGTGTTTGGGTGGTCCATTAGGGCCCCCCAAGTGGCGGCGCCCCCGAGCCAGACACTTTGCTCGAAATTCCACCGGCTCGCTTGGTGCAACAGGCGCCCACCCCGTCGACGCGGCCACAACATCATTCGTTACCATGGAGACCGGCTGATAACAATGCCAGGGCGCGCACTTGTTGCACCATTGCACTCAACCACCCAAAGCCAATTGCGCATCGTATGAACAGGTGAACAGTGTTGCCGGCCGAGCTGAATATACAGGGTGGCCCAACAAATGTTTACCTCCGGTGGCCAGGGCGGCGTCCAGCAGCCCCACTACCAGCCAAATTGCCGTCCAACTGCGCGGTTGCCGCATGTCCATGTGTCTGCAACAAACCAAACTAGTTTATGCGACCRATCAMAGTGAAGTGRGTATTTTGAAATTTACACCAYCGTGAGRAATARGAAAACGCGCCAATRAAACCCCAACTCGCATGGATTTTGAGGATTTCTKCMCCAAASCGGYAACGTTGCCCCGGCCATTCTTGCAACCTTGGCCAGTCAAACGCAGCAAMAATCCTTCYACACKGTTSCMAKTCGCACACATCTRGCKTGATTTATAAATTTTCGATCMAMTYGGMAMCKMKGGASTCGTRAKGCWSRTAAAMMCCMCGTTGTCAGYTCGRRCGCAATTTCGCATCAAMTAAATTTTTTTTGAGTCACGAGTCGAMTKAAACYCCAATTCGCACACATACAGAGCGATTAAGGAAWTTGCSATYAAATMGGCAACGYTGGAYGMGTAAAAYACATATAAMAACYTTCTRCRCTGTTGCCMAAGTYGGCTTGATAAWTCCRCTYWGAASCWGRGGAGCGTGATCTGGAAACCCCACGTTGTCAGATCGGGCGCAATTTCGCATTAAATAATTTTTCTTTGAGTYACGAGTCGAWTRRAACTSCAATTCGYACACATACAGAGCGATTAAGRAAWTTGCSAYCAAATCGGCAACGYTGGACGCGTAAAACAMATATAAAAACCTTCTRCWCTGTTGCCAAAGTCRRCTTGATAATTCMACTSKGAAKSTKKKGMGCRTKWTCTGSAAACCCCAMGTTGTCAGTTTGTGCGCAATTTACGGCGCTTGATGATTTTTCGATCAGATCGGCAACGGWGGACGTGTAAAACACACATAAAACGTTCTACGCTGTTCCATCCTGCGTTACCAAACATTTTTTTRAACCTCTGCACTGTTATGTCATTAGGTCACTSMCACGCAGCGAGAATGGGGATTTATTGATCGAATCGGCAACGTTGCTCGCGCCCWGTGAGTAGTCCTGGTGCGGGTAAAACGCATGAAAGCCTCCACGCTGTTGCCAAAATTMCCGTGTCGATRTCAGTTTTCGAGTGCGCTCACTCAKTCTCCCGATCGAAAATGTGGGCGCAGTCAATTTAATTAAATTGAATCAATCGAYTATTTCATCGACCATCACAGGTCGCGCCCTATCGGGTGCAGATAGCGGCTGCGCAGGCATCGACGTGGCACTGTCATCGATGACATCGCTCGGGTGATTGACCAGTTTCAAAGTGCCGAAAAACCGGTAATACCTCCGGATGGGGCTCCGAATCCAGTGTGGAGTGCTCAAGGGGGCCGCCGAGGCCGCCGAGGCCCCCTTGAGCGTAGAATCTAGTACGCGCCCGGTGAAATTTGTGTTTGAAACGGTTGGCGTATGTTTGGGCCTACGTTGGTGACGCGCCGCCGTCCAGGCTGGAAAAGAGTTTTTGAGTGCCGCGGGGCCCAGCAGGGCCCAGCAGGGCACAGCGGGACCCTGCGGGTTGTGTTTGTGTGAGTGTGTGCGACCAGTAGGCTGACAGCCCTGCGAGTTTGAAAGTGCCGGTTTGTGGCCGCGGTTTTCGCATAGTGGGCGCCAGCCGGCCAAGTGAGGTTAGCTGTCAATTGGCGCGAACGTGACAGGGGGGCCCCCCGATATTCAACGGAGCGCTGGTGAGTACCAGGCACAACAGCCATAATTAGTTGTAAATTAGATCCGGGCGACCTCAATTATGATTAAGATTGTTGTTTTACCAAATCAAAGCGAGCCTTTGTTTAGGCTAAGCGCGGGTCATAAGCCACCGGTTCTTTCAGCTATTTACTGGCGTCCTTATCGCATCTAGTTGGCTGGTTCTTGGATGTCCAGGGCCGGAATTCCCCCCATTTGTTATTGCCGGTTGTTTTCCGATGAAACGCCTACACTGGGCGAGCAGTGGCGGGCGCGCGCTTACGCTTAGTTGGGGATTATTGGCGGGCAGCTGGTGAGGATTGCCTAGAGGATTATGAGCTTAGGGGGGTTTCGGGGCTACGCCCCTGCTGGAGTTTTCGCGACAGGAAGCCGATCGCGCGCTCAAAGCAGATTCAATTCGCGGCCGCCGCCACTAATTGATTGGACAAATCGGAATGCGGATTCGTTTGTTTACCCGTGGAGCATTGAGGTGGCAACTGGTGGGGCCCCACCACGACTAGCCAACGTTGGGCGCTTATCAGGCGCCATTGAGCGCAACCCCGGGGCCGTTCAGGTCAAAGGTGGCGGCGCTATCGGGCCAGTGGCGTGCCGCCCCAACCGCGGGGCTCGTTCCCGTCCATGCCCCCGAACTCGTTGGCCATGGAGCGCCGCGATTAACATATTTTATACGAGTTGTCCGCGCGCTGGTACGTGATATGAAGAAATTGATCGGAATCGCATTAGCCAATTGTTAATGAAGCCTAACGATGCAGAGGGCATTGCGTCAGCTCCGGTTTCTTCTTTCGCTTCTTCCCATTCCATTGCCAAGCCGATCCAAAGTTCAGCTAACGGGAACGGTGCAGGTTGAGTGAGAGCAAGAGGGCGGGCGGGGGGCCCCCTCCAGCCCCCCCAGCGTGTGTGCAGCCAAACCCCCCCATCGGTGATGGGGCGCAGCGCGGGGCCTGTAGGGAACTTACGTGGATGGTGGGCCTGGGCGCTTGCAGTCCGCAGTCGGGGTGGGCGCGCCCGAAAAACTGCCACAAACCGAAATGGCGCTACGGAAAAAAGTGCAGCGAGCGCTCGTTTTCGAACACGGATCTTCAGCGACGTTCGAGTTTCGCGCACTGTTCGACACTGGTGAGTGCCTGTGGTCGGTTGCTCGAGCCGAGAGTGCTGCTGCTGTTGATGGTGCTGCCGTGGCCCCTCCACATCTCCTCGCAAGGATTCCGAGCGACGCCAGGATTTTCGATTCGGGCGGCCCACGCGCGCCACTGCGCTCTTATCGGCGCCGCCCCCAGTTCCCGCCACCCCAACGAGAGTGTGGGCGTGGGCGCCAGCAAGGGGCGCACCGAAGCATCGCGACGCCCCGAAAACCGCCTGGCACTCGCCCGGTTTTCGGGGGCCTTTTTACGGCCCCATCCGTACGCGCCCAGGGGTTTTCTTCTCCAGGCGAAAATCCCATTTGGCCCTCAAACCCATTTGCCAGCCACTTCGGACGCAATTAGTGGAAAACCTCAACTTCCCATCCCGGTTTACCGTGTTGCCGTCCTCATCATTCCGGGGGGTTTCTCGGGACTTTGACTGGTTCCACGCCAGCCGTGCGGGAATTTGATTGAAGCTTCCGAGCAAAGTTGGGTTTTTTGCGGCGGGATGCCAGAAAAATCGCCCGTTTTTCACCTGTTTTGAGTCCGGGCCCCATTAGGGGCAAAGCCAGATTCCCGAACCTAGTTTGCCATGTTGCCGCGCGCATAATTTTGCGGGTTTTTATCGCAATTTCCGCTGTGTCTGTGCCATTTGTTGGGGAAATTCATCGGTTTTCCAACGGTTGAGTTTGTCTTTATGGGGCTTTTTCTGGCGAGTTGCGTTGCCAGTTTTCGCCCAAATGCCGAGTCCTCAGCCACTCTAGGCCTGATGGATGGAGGAAAACATTTTTTTTGCCAAAAACCAGCGTTGCCATGTTGCCGTTGTTACACCTAATTCTGAGGTTTTTCTGAGATTTCTACTGTTTCAGTTTTCTCTGGCGCAAAATCCCATGTTTTGTCCCAAAAACGCATTTGCTGTCGATCCAGGCCCAGAAAGCGCGGAAACCCGAAATTTCCTAACCTCGTGTGCCCTGTTTTTCCATTGTTTCACCGCCGGCTTTTGGGAAAATTCCTCAGCTTTCAAGGTTTTTTCACGCGCCTTTTTGGTACAAAATTCCATGTTTTGAACGAAAAACGCATTTGCTGTCGATCCAGACCGAGAAAGCGCGAAAACCCGAAATTTCCTAACCTAGTTTACCCTGTTGCCGCTCTCATTACTTGGGGATTTTTCATGGGATTTCCACTGTTTTAACGCCGGCTTTTGGGGAAATTCATCAGCTTTCAAACACACTGGAGGTTTTTTCAGGCCCCCAAAGGGGTTGGAGAAATTCGCAGAAAATGCGCTTTTTGTCCAGCCGTTTTTTGCCAAAAATCCCAGTTTCTAGTGCAAAATCCCACTTTTTGCTCCAAAAACGCATTTGCTGTCGATCCCGGCCCAGAAAGCGCGAAAACCCGACATTTCCTAAACCAGATTGCGATGTTGCCGCACTTATAACTCAGGAATTTTCCCCCCATTCGATAGATAAACCAACCAACTACAGTCAAATTTCTTCAAAATTTCCGCACTTGTTTCGTCCAAAAACTCGTGTAAAATTCCCAAATCTATCGACCATCAAACCGCTTTGCAGCATTGCCAAACCGTCCAAACCATCCAAACTCCCCCTGAGTTGCGGGCCCCGAAACAAAACCACCCGCGCAAATCCGTCACTGTCAATGTCAACGCCACTGGAAAACCCTCCAAAATCGCCCCCGAGTTGCAACCAAAAGTCAGTCACTGTCAATGTCAACGCCACTTGATGACACCCGCCCGCTAGTTTGGCTGCGCCATTGACTATCGGCGCGACCAGTAAATCGGCGATTCCATGGGCGTGCCAGCCATTAACGGCAACTAATGGGCGCAATCAACGTGGAAATTAGCCACCCATTGCGCCCATAATCGCGATCGCCTCCATCGCATACGAAACGAAGGCGATTTGCATGCAAGAATGGCGCGCCACTGGCGGCCGACGGCACCCGATCGGCTCCAGGTGCCCCTCGATCGCGTGACTCACCACCCGTCCAGAACCAACTGCGCGCCGATAAAACGTGACTAATCCCGGGTTCCTGCTAATCCGGCTGCGTCAGAGCGATTAGCGCGCATCGATGACTCAACGCAAGCGCCCGCCAACTGCAGGCGATTCGGGCCCTTAATGATGGCGCGCGCCCATTTGGTCGCACGTGATTCATTGCCGATTTACTATTGACAGCCGGATTTGGGCGCGCCATCTGGCGCAGTGTTGCCACTTTGTCCGGCGGCATTTTCTGGGTCAACTGCTGGGTGAAACAACGCGACTGGAACCTGAGACAGCCTGGCAGTGCTGCCACTTTTTATTTATTTATTTATTTATTTATTTATTTACATAAATCGAACTGTTTTGCTTACAAAACGACAGCTGGAACGTCACACACACGTGATGGGGGACAGACACGCGCAAACGCGCGCGCGCTGTCCGGCAACATTGCCGAGACCGGCGCAAACCAGCGGCAACTCGACGAACTAGGTTTTGTTTTGAGTGGCAGCGCTAGTGAAACGCTGCACCGCCAGATGGCGGCGCAGCGGCTGCGATTTAGCCGCAATCGGCAACAACGCGGGGGCGGTTTGCGCCTGGCCTCGCGCCTAACACTAAAACGATAACGATAAATAACAATAATCACTTGAAAACTTAATATATGTACAGTGTTCTTGACTACGTCAAAGTGTGGGGGCTGATGAGTCGCGCTGGAGTGGGGGTGGCTCGAACGCCCCAATCACAGTCCTCCAAATGGACGTCAGTGGCAGGAATGGGGGTTGGGGGGGTAAAGAAGCGCATTTCTGTCTAAACTACCACTACCAAGCTACAGGACAGAGATAGAAAGCGAGAGAGAGAGAGAGAAGCGTCGATTCGTCGCAATAGAGAGGTTAAGGTCGAGCGAGCAAGCGCAGAGCCGCCGCACAGTCTTACCACCTGTCAATAACAACGTCGCCCACTGAAAAATAAAAGCCCATCAGTCAGCAAGAGAGCGAAATAGTACAAGACATTAGTGGAAAAGAGCGGGTTAGTTAAGCCTGGGGGGGCGGGCGGGGCTCACAGTCGGTGCACTTTCTGGGGAACTGCAAAAGCAAAAAACCCCCCGTCAATTTCCCCCATGTCACTGCAACAACAAGTCACTCACCATGTGGACGATGGGGCGGAGGCGCCGCCGTGGCCTGCTGCCGAAACTCGATAAGCATGATGGCGGTTAATAGCTAGAGGGCGTGGTTAATCAAAACTATCCGGGTCGGGTTTTTGGCTAGTAGTTTATTGCGCAAAACAACAGAGAAAACATGTTCGAACATGCACACAGTCATTCGCCAGCGTACCAGTACAAGTAAATCACAACACCTGAGGGGGAAATTAATCGCTCGCTCGCTCGCTCACACTCACACAGACTTGCCTGCTCTGTACACTAGTGGGCGTAGTGGGCGCGGCCCTCGATCCAGATCCTTCTTATTCAATTAGGGCCTAACTAAGTAATCAATAATTTATTTAATTATAAAAAATTATTCATTTTCCGACTAATTTATTTCCTATGGGTTTGGATGCGCGGCGGCACAATCAAGTCCAATGAATAATTTTCCATTAAGTGGGCGGGGCTTGGGTGTGGCGTGCCACTGTCTTTAACCCAGCCAGTTTAGGAGTTTAGGGGGGGGGGKGCAAACAGAAGGCACTGTCAGTCAACACTGTCACTGCTGCTGGGGGGGCGGGGCCCGTTCGCGCGCCTCGGGCTCTTATAACGGTCCCCACAGCACCAAGCCAAAGAACACAGCCCACATTAGCACAATCCAATGCACAGTAAAAATCGCATTCTCACCGTCAGTGATCTTTCGGGCGATAAACTTCAGCGTCTCGTCGAGCAGAATCACCGGAATGGAGAACTTCATCACGGTGAGCCACTCCGCCACCGTCAGGGGGCACACTTGGAACACCACCTGCAAATGTCAGCGTTTAGTCAAATGTCAACAGGCCACGCCCATTTTGGACGGGTACCCACCGAAAGCACGTCCACGTAGAGAATGACAAAGTGGAGGGTGAAGGAGAGCGCCATCGAGCCGATGAGCCACAGGTTGCACCAGGGCGGCATCGCCACCAGCGACTGGTTCTCCGACAGACTGATGAAGGCGGAACGTTTAGTGAAATTGACCACGCCCACGGGCGTGTTGCTACCCACCTGTTCATGGCGTTCAGCATCTCGATGGTGACCAGGACGGAGAGGGCCATGGTCATGGGGTGGGGGTCGGTGAAGACCTTGCAGTCGATGCCCTTGAACTCGGGCCCGCCGGCAATGCATTGCAAGTGATGCGTCTGCGCACACACACACAGAAGGGATGAGTGCAGGGGGCCACGCCTCCCTACTGGGGCGCGCCACTTACCAGCTGATAGTAGCTCATCTGGGGGCCTTCGGGCGAGGCCATGAACCACCAGGCGGCCGCGCCCACGGTGGCGGCGCCCACGTAGCCGCCGATGGCCAGGTAGCGGAAGAAGAGCCAGCCGGAGATGAGCGACTCGTCGGCCTTGCGGGGCGGCTTGTCCATGATGTCGAGGTCGGGCGGATTGAAGCCGAGGGCGGTGGCGGGCAGACCGTCAGTCACCAGGTTGACCCAGAGGAGCTGCACCGGGATGAGGGCCTCGGGCAGGCCGAGGGCGGCGGTGAGGAAGATCGAGACGACCTGTGGGGCGGACATGAGCCGGGTGGGCAATAGGGGGCGCTGGCGCGCGCGCACTCACCTCGCCAATGTTGGAGGAGATCAGGTAGCGGATGAACTGCTTCATGTTGTTGTAGATGGCGCGGCCCTCCTCCACGGCGGACACGATCGAGGAGAAATTGTCGTCGGCCAGGACCATTTCGGCGGCCGATTTCGCCACCGCCGTGCCCGAGCCCATGGCGATGCCGATTTCCGCCTTTTTCAGCGCTGGGGCGTCGTTGACGCCGTCGCCCGTCTGCAAAAGGGGCCAAAATCCCGTTATATACCTATATATATATATAAAAGCCCCCATATCTGTTTCACCTTGACGTGCAGCCCCAAATAAGGATGACAAATCAATTGATTTTGTTCCTTAAATATTCAATGTCCGCTAGATAAATTAAGAAAAGTGCAACAGGGCAAAGGAGGATGGTTCGCCTGAGTTAAGGCTTCAATTTGCTAATTATCGCGATTGTTTTGGATAAACTTGTGAAAATGTTCCAGCTCGAGATTGAGCCGGTAAAACGACCATAAAGTTTCGAATTAGTCGAATACTATACAGGGTGATTCAAAATTGGCGTCAGTCMTATTAAGGGTATATACCGGCCCGTATATACCCTTAATAGGACTGACGCTTGTTGGAGAGTGTGCCGGTGAAGAATTCTTCGTATGTAAACGTTAGAGGCGATCGATRMAAATGAAACACTTTCTATAAATCTCTTAGATGATTTTTAAATCACGATGATTGAAATCACGTGAAAAAAATCAAGCCAACCCTGGTTATATACAGGGTGATTCAAAATTGGCGTCATTTCTCTGGTGGTGTTGTCTGGCGCTGTTATAGGAGTACAGAAAAAATAGTAAAAGAAATTAATTGTGATTAAAAACTGACAAATTTGCAACAACCCATATCAGAAATACGGCAGCAATGCTTTTCAAGGTAATCTGCCTAATTAACATTGTGCAAATACTTCGTAATCATTTCGGTAACCATGGAATTATACAGACTGACAATGAGATAGACAAGGACAAACGGTAAATTCGACAAGATTTGTGGACGAAATGTCAATCTGTTCTCATGGATGTTTGCGAGTGTTGCGTGAACGTGGTAGGAATGTATCCCTTCCTCGACATTTATTTGGTGCTCGGTTATGTCCAATATGTTGTTCCTCTGTTCTTGGCACCCGAACATCTATCGTCCACTATCTTCCTGCAACCACTTTGTTGGCTTGAGTTCTTTCAGGTTCTGCCATCTTACTGTAGCATTATTTGCCCTAAACTAATCGTAATTTTTCTTTTTAAATATATATATATATATTCTTATAATTGAACAAAGTTGAAATTCGATGTTTAACTGTTAATATCTTCGAGAAATTTTGTAAAAAAAAATATTTTGGAATGGCGTCAATTTTGAATCACCCTGTATAAGCTCAGAAGGGGTTGGGGGGGGGGAACTCACCATAGCGGAAATTTCGTTCATGCTCTGCAGATACTCGACGATCTTGGACTTGTGCGCAGGCTCAACGCGGGAAAAGAGACGCGCGCGTGCGCACGCCGCCTTCTGCTCGGCCGGKGACAGATCGTCAAACTCCCTGCCCGAGTAGGACTTGCCGGTGGTGTCCTCGTCCTCGGTGAAGACGCCGATGCGCCGACAGATGGCCTCAGCGGTCGCCTTGTTGTCGCCGGTGATGACAATGACGCGGATGCCGGCGGCGCGACATCTCACGATCGAGTCCTGCACCTCCTTGCGGGGCGGGTCCAGCATGCCGACCACGCCCACAAACGTGAGATTCACCTCGTAGGTGTAGAATTTGGTCGAGTCGCCCAAGTCCATCTCCTCGGGCTTGACGGGCGCGTCAGCGGTGGCGAGGGCGAGGCAGCGGAGCGTGTCACGCCCACAGCCGTAGCCGCGCGTCACCTCCAGGATGCGGCTCTTGATGGCGCTGGTGAGCGGCACCTTCTGCTGGCCGACGCGCACATGCGTGCAACGGTCGAGCACGCCCTCTGGCGCCCCCTTGACGAACAGTTTCGGGCTGGTGCCGAGGCGCGTCGGCTTCAGCGGCACGCAGTACGACGACATCGACTTGCGGTCGCGCGAAAACTCCAGCGTGAACTCCTTCTTCCATTGGCTCTCGATGTCTTGGCGCACGCAGATGGCGGTTTGGCGGCGATCGCCCGACTTGGCAACGTTGAACGGGTTCATCTTCTCGGCCAGTACGATGAGCGCGGTCTCGGTGGCCTCGCCCACCTTCTCGAAGCACTGCTTGAACTCGTTGAAGTCGATCGAGGAGTCGTTGCACATGATGCAGATGGTGCCCAGCTCGTGCAGCCCGTCGAACTTCGAGCACTGCACCTTTTGGCCCTTGAGGAAGACTTCGCCGATCGGCTCATAGGTGGAGCCGGTGATCTCGAACTCGTGGATCGAGGTGTCGCTGCCCTCCGCCTTGTCGAAGATGAACATGCGCGAGACGGACATTTGATTGGTGGTGAGGGTGCCGGTCTTGTCCGAGCAGATCACCGATGTGCAGCCGAGCGTCTCGACTGAGGGCAGCGACCGCACGATGGCGTTCTTCTTGGCCATGCGGCGCGTGCCCAGCGCCAGACAGGTGGTGATGACAGCTGGCAGGCCTTCAGGGATGGCGGCGACGGCCAGCGCCACCGCGATCTTGAAGTAGTAGACGGCCCCCTTGATCCAGGAGCCGCCGTGGGCGGGGTCGTTGAAGTGGCCGATGTTGATGGCCCAGACGGCCACGCAGATGACGGAAATGACTTTTGACAGTTGCTCGCCGAATTCGTCGAGCTTCTGTTGCAGCGGCGTCTTGATCTCCTCGGTTTCGGACATTTCGGTGCGGATCTTGCCGATGGCGGTGGCCAATCCGGTGCCGATGACGATGCCGCGCGCTTTGCCCGCCGCCACGTTGGTGCCGGAGAAGAGGATGTTCTTCTTGTCCTGGTTGACGGCGCGCGGGTCCGGCACCGGATCGGTGTGCTTGATGACGGACACCGACTCGCCGGTGAGGATCGACTGGTCGATGCGCAGCGTGGTGGAGAAGATCTTGACGATGCGGATGTCAGCGGGGATTTTGTCGCCCACCGACACCTCGACGATGTCGCCCGGGACGATCTCGCGCGCCCGGATCTTCTGCACGCCCGTTTTGTCGCCTCGGATCACTTTGCCCATTTCCGGCTCGTACTCCTTCAGCGCCTCGATGGCCGATTCGGCGTTGCGCTCCTGCCACACGCCCACCACGGCGTTCGCGATCAGGATCAGCAGAATGACGAACGGCTCGACGAACGCCGTGAATGCGCCATCGTGCTCTTCGAACAGCGCCAACACCTGCAACAAGCGCACATTAATATCAAGCAACAGGGGCGACTGCCAGTGGTGCGCGCTCTGTCGCACCTGCAGCGACATCCGAACATCCACGGCGAAATTTGGGGGCGGAAAAAAATTTAAAATTAGTGCAACCGCGCGAAGGCACCGCCCTGTTGGGGGCTTCGCAGCGGGGAATTTTTCCGAATTTTTTGCGATCGAAAAAACCCCGAACTTGGGGCGAACTGGCCCTTGAGCTAATGATGCAACCAGCCAAGGGCGTGGCAGCGAGCCGTGTGAGTTGGGCGAGGAAATTTCTCAAAAATACAAAGAAAGTTTGCAAAATACCATTGAAAAGAAAGCGAAAAACAAAGAAATTCACCCCAGACTGACAAGCGTCTAGGTATACAACGGCACCTCTTGTCAATTCTATCGATTGCGGCGATTCGCACTAGCGTTTTATTATGACTTAAGACGATTTAAGGTTAGGTGATTTTTTCCCGGTATTTGACTTTGACTGTGTCAACTTAATTAATATTAATAAAATTACTGCACTTATAAAGTTTGATTTAGCAATAATACTTAACGATGTGTTTTTTAACGTTACTCTATATATTATGTACACCAAATGGGGCGTTTTAATAATCAAAATGCATTATTGAGCAACTAGATAGTTGGCTTAAGTTCGTTTCCTATGTGCAATGTGCAAATCTAATCAAAACAAATTATCAACGATTTTTTAATTTTAAAGTAACAGAAAAAACAAAACTACTATTGTAAGAGTCAAATATTGAGCAAAAGAATTGCTGGTATCTTCTGTTTCCATTCATTTTTTGTTTAACATGTCACACTAAGCAACACATGAAAATAATTGCCTTTTTACACTATTCCAACAAAAGTGGAATACCAACTTTTTAGTAGGTGAATTAATTTCATTATATCAGGCGTATAAAATACTAAGATTTATAATCAGAAGTTTTAAATATTTTAACAATAATACAACATTTTTTTATTACATTTTTAGTATTGAATGCCATAAGCACTCTTACTTGTTGTTGCCACTTGGGTGATCTTTATTATGAGTTTTACCGATAAATAAATCTATGGAATGTATTTACTAATTTGAAAACTATCCATATAAATGTATCGATGTATGCAAGGATATTCAATATACTGTCAAATATACAATAAACCAAACTTTTTAGGAGATTTATCTAGTAGTTTAGGTTGCTTACTTAAATACTACGAATACAAAATCCAATACCTATTTAAGTTGATCAGAACAAATCATTTGTAAATTGTTATAAATTAAGAAACCCTCATAATCATCCCTGTCTTTCTTTGTGCTAATATAAAGGCAATGCTATTATTTTTGTTCCAACAAATTCAAACAATCCCTCTTAAAAAATGAAAAACTACTAGCCAAGAGCGCATAAAATTTACCTGTGAATTTCTGTACGATACTACTTGTTTGTCATTTTTATCTAGAGCTTATATAAGGTTCGAAATGCACGAGAATGAAAAAAAAAATGATTGACAAACTCGCGGTTGTTTATCTCGACAAATTATAAAATAATCATCATCAAACAAAACCACCTAACCTTAAATCGTCTTAACTCATTTGTAGAACCTGTCAACGATACGTTCGATAACAACAAACCGGTAGGCTTATTTGATTGGTTCGAATCGCCGCAATCGATACAAGTGACAGGAAAAAATACCAGTTTTTGCAGGCTGCCAAGACTGGCGCGCGCCCTTTGGGCACCCATGGGTAGGAGAGAGCGCACTAGACTAGGGCGGTATGCCCGTCTCGCTTCCACCCATGGGACTCCAAGGGCAAACTCAGGCACTGGGTGGTTGAGAATGTTTTTTTATTTTTTTTTTGGTGCAAAGGCCGGCAGTCCGGGCGAGTTGGCCCCGATCCAGATCAGCCGGTCGAAAGATGCGCGTCTAAATTTAATTTAACTGGGCGGCCGCCGACATGAAGGTCGGCCAGGTGGCCTCGTGTGCGCGCCCACTGGTCGCGCGCTCGCCAGATGTCGCCACCCGGCTTACATAACCCACGTCACTCTCGATACTTACAAAGGAAATGATGGCGGCCAACAGCAGGATTTTGACGAGCAGATCGTCGAATTGCTCGAGAACCAGCTGCCATATCGATTTGCCTGTTGGACAAAGAAAATCGATTAGATCGGGGTGTTTTGACGGGTGTCAATGTCAGTTTCGCGTAGGTATTTGAAGTGGTATTTTAGAACTCTTGTTGGGAATCTTGACTAGGCGCAGCGCCAACTCCGCGAGGAAAAACCTCAATTTATTTTTAAACCGTCAACTAGCAGTGCGTCTGAAAATATTTCAGCCAATTTTCCTAATTAAATAAAATTCGGTCGGTGTGTGTGGGGATAATTGCGTTGAATCAACTCAACAGCCGCTGAGTCATTTAGCCCAATATTGAGTTCGCGGCGATAACGGATTAATTATGGGCCTGGAAAATGCGGCGTTAATCGCCAAACACACACACACAGAGATGTTCAATGTCTTGCGGCCGCATGGAATTTCCACAGCGGACAGCTGCTCGCGATTGACGTCATAGCGTTGCGGTTACCTGATCGCGGCCTACTAAGCTAATGGGCACTCACCTTCCTCGGCCGGCAATTCTGCAACAAACAAACAAACATTTTAGCGGCTTGACTGGCAATTTTTGGCTAATGGAAAGCGGGATTTTTGCCGTTTTTTCCGGTGAAATAATGGCTGCTGGCGGCGGCAACCCGCTCAACAGCGGGGCTGCATTGCGGGTTGCCGGCCAGCCAGTTATGAACCGAAATGGGGCCAACAGTCGGAGGGGGCGGGTGCTCCACTCACCATTGGGGCCGTACTTCTCCTGGTTGCGCTTGACCTGGTCGGGGGACAGGCCTTTGTCCTGGTCGGCGCTGAAGTACTTCAGCACCTCATCCACGGTCTTCTCATGGGCGTTATCCATCACTCACCACGTCTGCAACGGAAACAAACCCGGACGTTTAGCAAACGGGGGCCCTTCAGTGAGGGCGGGGGGGCGCAGCCCCGGCAGGTGAACGCGCGATTTAACACAAACGAAGCAGGGGGGGCGAAATCACGTAAGCAACATGCACATGTCTCGATCAAGCTGGCACAAATTGGGGAAACTCGCGGGGAAAACGTGCAGGCAAGCGAAAAACTGCGATGTAAAGCGCTGGACGGTGACAGCAAACTGTCACTGTCAGGCAGGCGACGGCTGGAAGGGTGGCGGGCCAGTGGCGTGCCGCAGGCCCAAAGCAGCAAAAGTGGCCCGTTTGGGCCTGAAACGCGGCCAAAAGCCGCCGGCGCCCCCAAAGATGAGCGTCGGCAGTGATAAGCAGCGCGGGATTAGGCGGCAATCAATCAAATCGGGCCAATTAAGCGGCAATGATTGATGGGAACCAGTGGCGCAGTTGGCAGCCGTCATCGTGGCGGGCATGTGGACGCAGCTGATTGGTCGGCAAGGTCACGTGCCCGGGCCACGATCGGCGCCAAATTCAAACCGAGCCTTTTATATATAAATATCGAGGGCCCGGTTGCGTAACCGGCCGCTCGGGGGGGCACTGCACTGCACTTACCGGGCCGCAGCGATGCGTTGCAGATCCAGTGGCGGGCGCGCACTCACTAAAACCCTTCGGGGGGGGTTGCGATCACCACAACAAAAAAATTTCACGGATTAATGGGCGGTTCAGGTTTGGGGCCCCATTCGGCGGATCAGACACAGACGTTTGCGAGCGGATTCAGTCGCGAAACGGGCGCCGGGCTTTCGGTGCGCGCCTTTTTATAATCTCGGTGACCGGCAGGCCACGTAAATGGGCACGGTGCCAGAACGGGGCTGCGCCAGCGGCCCGCGAAAAAACTGCCGTCGCGACGCTTATTAATGGCCCAACGGGACGCTGCTGGGGCCAACTTTATCGGCTACCGGCCACAGCGGCCCCGGCAGCCTCTGAGCTACGCCACTGGCTCCGTTTCCAACTGCGGTTGCCTGCATGGTTGTGTCGTCGCCGTGGCTGCAGGGCGGGAGCCCATAGAGAAAGCAAAATAATTACTTTTATAATAAATTATAATTACTCTATGCGGCAGCCCTCCAACGACCACGCCCCTTCTGCCGCCATGTCCCAGTGATGGATGTCAAGAGGGCCCGAAGGGCACAGCCGCCCGTGGCTGTGCCTAGATGGCGCCCTGCCAAAGCTTCGGTAGTGGAGGGCAACCAAATTTAAGGGCGCGGCTCGCCCGACCCCAATAAAGCGCCAAATTTAAAAAAGGCCTAGCGGGGGCTTAAAATCCAATATGCATTTTAAACGAAAATTTGCACGTTTAAATCGTGTGAATCTGAGTCGCCCTTTCCAGTTTTGGCCTCTAAGCCCGAATTTCTTAAGGGATTTTTTGAATCAAATGATTCCTTGAAAGGGAGTTGTTGTCAAGTAAGCGCATCTTTGGACGCTTCAAGGGTTTATATGGCGGCCGCCCTTTGCTGAATTTATTCATATTTTGCCCGCCCGCATTTTCGCCCAAAACTCACTCCTTTTTGGCGCGATTTTCAATGTTAGTGTCTCGAAAGAAAGACAGTTGGACGCTCTTCAAGTTATCTTAAGGCAGCTTTTGCGTCCGACCCCAATTGGAGGGGCTGCGCCCGATTATAAAGTTTCTTTCCCTTTCCCTTTCCGCCAACCGCGTTTTTGCTCGCAGGCCCTTTCGCTGATCGCCCCCTGCATCACTTCTATGCAACAAATGATAAAAATCTTCCAAAAACGTTCGGTTTGACAAAAACAAAAAATTTGGAGATGCCGGGGATCGAACCCGGGGCCTTTCACATGCAAAGCGAACGCTCTACCACTGAGCTACATCCCCGCTTGAGATAGTTGGCAAACCACTGCAAATCCTTCTTGATCATCTCCGGCGCAGCCCCCCAAAAAAACCCCTTTGGGGATTGATGCATTGAGAAAAATTGCTGACGCAATTTTTCACCCGGGATTTGACCAGGGACTTTTCCTAGCTAGCTAGCGCTAGCCTTCAGCCGCCATCTTGGTGTGACCACCCTCCACACACGCGGTAGTCAAGGCAACCTCATCTGTTGTGCGCGTCTAACCTCAATCAAAGGGGGCCCAAATGTGCGAAGTGTCAGCGCAGAATTTCCCGGCGCTTTTCCCGGAGATCAAGGGGCGCCTGGGGGCGGCGCGCTTCGTCGCCCTCGACCTGGAGTTCAGCGCCCTGAATCCGCGCCCCGAGCACCTGCCCAGGTGAGCCTTTTATACCCGGCCCTTGCAGGGCATCGATGCTTGATGGTCGATTGATTGCAGCATATTCGACTCGCCGGACGTTCGCTACGCGAAGCTGCGCCTAGGGCTGGAGGGCGTGGTGCCGCTGCAGGTGGGCCTGACGGCGTTCACCTTCGACTCGGCGCTGAACAGCTACAGCGCGCACAGCTTCAGCTTCCATGTGCAGCCGGCGGCGTTCCAGGGCGTCAATCGCTGCTTCCTGCTGCAAACCAGTTCGCTCGCCTTTCTGAAGCTGCACAATTTCGACTTTAATAAGGTGAGTTGTTGGGGGGCTGGACTGGGATGGAAGCTGATCGCAGTGTTTCAGTTTGCTTATGGCGGGGTGCCCTTCATCAATCGGCGGCAGGAGCAGGGGCTGCGCGAGCTGATGGGGCAGGACCAGCTGTCGGAGCTGAGCGCCAGCAATGCGCAGGAGATTGCAGAGATCGTGAGCCGCGAGGGAGCCCGCGTGGCTGCGTGGTTGAAGCGGGCGCAGCCCGGGCAGGAGCTGGCGCTCGCCGATGTGCCCCCTGATGAGGAGGTGCGGTTCTTCGTGCAGCGCGCCCTGAGGGCGCGCTTCGCCCCCCTGTGGACGTGCGTGCACAACGGGGAGCTGCGCGTGCAATGCGTGACTGCGGACGAGTTTGCGGCGCTGGACGCCGCCCAGCCCCTGGAGGAAGCGCTGCTGGAGGGGCTGCTGGGCTTCGCCCGCGTGCTGAGGCTGTTGGCCGAGCTCCGCGTGCCCCTGGTGGGGCACAATCTGCTCCAGGACCTGCTCCTGGTGGTGGCCTGYTTCGAGCAGCCGCTCCCCGAGTCCTACTCGGCCTTTAAGCGCSTGGTCCAGGCGCTGTTYCCGCWGGTGTTCGACACCCGCCTGATCTCCCATAAGGTGCGCATGGCGCAGCCCGAGGCGCAGCGCTGGAACGACCGCTGTACGTATTTTTCGGGTGTTTTTGACTGGTTTTGAGCGCGTTTGCCATTGCAGGTCTGCAGACGATGTTCGAGTTCTTCCAGCAGGGAGCCGCCAGGGGCGGCAACGCGCCCAGGGTGGTCCTGGCGGGCGCCCAGGACAGTCCGGCGCAGTTCCACAACGCCGCCTGGGACTCCTACTGCACGGGCTACGCCTTCATCCAGCTCGCCCACATGAATATCAGCGGCCGCTACCCCAAGGCCAAGCAGTTTGTCAGCAGCGAGCTGCTGGCGGGGCTGCGCCCCTTCGAGAACCGCATCAATCTGATCCGCTGCTCAGTGCCGTGCATGGTCAGCGCCGAGGAATGCGTCCAGTGGCTGGTTGACTGACGGTTTGTTTGTTTGTTGCAGAATCTGGCCGGAGCCGATCCAGATAGCACGAGGCCGCCGCACTTAGTGATTGAGGCGCGTAAAAATAGCCCGCTCAACGTACGGCAGGTGAGCCAGTTCTAAATCCGGGCGCTCGACGGCGGGGTAAATTTAGCGACTTTTTGTGGGGGCCCCCGCAGGTGACCGAGCTGCTGAGCCGCTTCGGCTACGTGGAGGTGCGCAAGCTGCGCCCGCCCCGCACGGCACTGATCGCCTGCGACAACCACGGCAAGTAAGCGAACGCTGGCACGGCACTGGACCAGCTGGCGCCCATTAATAACCACATTGGCACTGCAATGCGGTTTATTTGCGGAATTTGTGTGTGCGAATGCTTGGGCGCTGGTTGCGTCATTGCTCGCATGCCTCGCAGAGCCCCACTAATTTTTTTCGGGGGCATTTCAGCGCCAAACGCATCCTGCGGGAGCTGCGCCACCATCCCCAGTACCGGATTGGGCCGTACGTGGCCTGGAAGCACTCCCCATTGGTGCGGCCGCTGCTGCTGTAAGCCCCGCCCCCCGTTTCTGGCCCCGCCCTGCTCTCATTCTCGCACTGTTGCAGGGGGGCGTTGACGGTGTCCGGCGCCCTGTTGCTGTGGCAGCTGCTCCATGTGGCCAGCCCCCCTGGAGCCCCGCCAGTCCCCGCCTGAACGCCCCAGTTACGCAAGGTAAGCGGCTAAAAATAGCGCTCAGCTCCCTCACTGGTGTGAGTCAATCGCACAAATCGGTTTTCATATTTAAAAATAAGCCCTTCGGGGGCCACTCGAACACCAGATACCACTCGCGATTGACGTCATTGCTGGGGCGATGACATAAGAGTGGCAGG